GGTATCATATGAAAGAGGACTGAAATAGCTTTTAAACAGAAATAACGAACGACCTCTATTTGTATTTTTTTTTTTATAATTTAATACTAAAGAAATGCATATACCTGACACAAGGTTTGTTCTATAGTAATTAATTAACACTTTTTGTTGAAATATTTTTCAATATGTAGCTTTCCTCGTTTAGACATTTCAGTTTTAAAGCTATTTAAGTCCTCTTTCATTTGATACCAAACTTGTTTCATTTGGATAAGCGGTTTGTTTATTATCCGGAAGACTTTTATTTCGGAATAATATTCGCAACAACCCTGGTGTCACTGCATACCATTTTTTCTTAAAAAACGAGAGCTACAAATTGTTTCTTTCCACAACAAATTTACAACAAAAAAGCTACAATTAATTCCGTTGTGTTCAATATCTCAATTCTGTCGTCAATGGTGCATGGTGTCAAGTTAGCACTACATACTAAATTTTGTTCGAAAAAGGTCAACAAAATTTTTTTCAGAAAAACGAAAACTACAATTTTTTTTCACAACAAATTTTAAAGTTAAAAGCTACAATTAATGGCATAGTAACATATTGGATATCTCAATTCTTTCGACTAGGTGTATGGTGTCAAGTTAGCACTACATACCATTTTTTTTTTTTTTTAAATGAGAGCTACAAATTGTTTCTTTCCACAAAAAATTTACAACAAAAACAATACAATTAATGCCGTAGTTAATTTTTCCAATTTCGAAAAGTATAGTGCTAACTTAACACACGTAATTTGAGAAAAACACTTAAAAGGCAAAAATACCAATTTTTTCTTATAAAAAATAATTTAAACAAAAAAATGACTATTTTTAATATTTTTATTGAGCTTTGTACCACGATTGTTTATTAAGAAAAATTGAGAAAGCAACAAAGTTTATACGAATTTTTTAAAAATCAGTTCAAAATTTTCTGAATTATTAAGTTTTTAATTTTTCGAAGAGCTGACCTTTGACCTGTTATAGCCCCTGTAATATTTTCACAAAAAAAATTATATACCATATAAATACGAGCAAACGACGGACCACGTCTGTATTTTTACTTTTTTTCTTACATGCAATAATTAAAAAAAAAAATTTTACCAAAGGGTCAAATATCGAACTTCGAAGGCCCATATCTCCATTTCGGAGGCTAACTTCGAAAACCGGAGAAATTACTTTTTTTACTTATGACTCAGTCATGACTCTAAAAGTTGGTTTGTTCCAATACCCAGCCGAGTGCTGTACAGCGTTATTACAAAAATAAGATGCATATATAATAAATTTAAGAAAAATATATAAAAAAATCTAATAGTGGCGAAATATGTTGCCGATGTATTTGTGGATACTCAGGCTAAGAAATGCAAATACTTATTGCAATATTGTTACTTTGTGAACATTGAGGGGGCCATTTCAGGAATTTTTACTCCGACAAGATTTTCTTTTCGGATTTTCGACAGTAAAAATTATCGCATGCCGCCCTAATGTCTAATAATTACTGTTCTACTGGGTGTATACTTTGATGCAAAATTTAGTTATGTCACACATGTTAATTACGTTGTCTCTAAATCTTACTCGATGCTCGCGTTTCTACGGCGCAATAGTTCTTCGGTCTCAGATCCGTACATTTTGAAGCTTTTGTATTCGTCCATGTTAGAGTATGCCGCCTTTATATGGAGACCTTACCACCAAAAACATACAAATCGATTAGAATCTGTACAGAAGGCGTTTGTACGGTTCGCCCTACGCTCTCTACACTTCTCTGAACCTAAGCCTGAGTATAGCTCTCGCTGTCAGTTAATCAACCTAATGACACTGCACAACAGACGACTGATCAACCTCTTTTCTATTTGACATAATCTGTTAGGTAAAATTAATTTCGTAATGCTGAAAATGTTCTGGATTACAATTACAGTAATCGTAATCCTACGTAATCAAAATGTAAGCGTAATCATAAAGTGCCCATCTCTGGCATATGCGATATGCGATACCATACGCGATACGATACGCGATGCGATATGAAATGCGCGCAGTGCATATTAGAGCGATGCGATGCGCGACGCGACATGCGATGCGACACGCGATACCATTTTGTGATAGCTACACAAATTTTTGTGCCCTTATAAGCTTGTAAATGAGTTAAATGAGTTGCTTCTCAACCGAGTTTAGACCTTTCAAATGATGGGTCTATGTTTATACATATCTATAAACTTTTAAAAAATTTAAGAAAAAAGTATGTTTAAGATCGAGTAAAACTGATGTTTATTTTTAGAAAGTCGGCTAAAAATTAAATGAGATATTCAAATTTGCATTACAAATTATTTCAGAATATTGCGTTCACTACAAGGAGAAATCGGTGAAAGCTGAATTAAAAAAAAAAGGTTAAGCAAAAATTTTTGAGTTGTATAGCCAAAAATATTCTTTTTCTCATGAAAGGTTGAATAACTTTTCTCCGATTTTTTAAAGTAAAAATGACTATATATTAAATGTTAACTTTGCATCAATTCAGGAGTAGTATAGTTGCTTTATAAAATAGTGCGTGAAAACTTTGCCAAACTTAAAAAAAAAAAGAAAAAAATGAACACAGAAAATACACACTGATCTCTTAAGTTTTCTAGAAGTGTATTACATATATCATTTAAAGGTCTAAACTCGGTATATGGTCAACTGAGTTACAAGCTCATAAGTGCGGAAAACCGGTTTTTAACAGTAAATCAAGATTGTGTGATACAAATTTCGTATCTCGATTCTTACTTCACTCGGCAAAACCTACCTGAAAATAAACATGACTTACCAGGTATTTTTACTTCCTTTTTTTTTGTAGCATTGTGTAATAGAGCACACAAATTGGTACTTTCTCTATTTAATTCAAAACTTATTAAATTTAATAAAATAACACTCAAGAAAAAAAGCATATAAAAATATAACGAATAATCAAAAGTAATTACCTACATACATACATAATTTTTTAGTATTTGATATTATATCTGATTTCTTCTTTTAATGGTAAATGAGATGATTATTTCGTAATTGTTTCTAAGTACATTGATTACTATTTATTTGAATATTTGAAACAAAATAGTTAATCATTAACATTTAAACAAACACCAAAGATGTGAAAACAAAGGCAAATAAACCATCACGAAAAATATTATTTTGTGCATTTACCTGTGTCCTTGACCTCAGACGCTATATTTCACCATGCCAAACTAGTCATGTCTGTTCTACAGTAGTTTTTTTTGGTATAGTTCCATAAACATTGTTTTTTTTTTATTAACTCGACTAAAAAAAATTGAGGTCGATGCTTCCGCCTGCGAAACTACCATGCTTATTGCAAAAAATGCCGCGCAATACTAATCTCACCCAGTGATCGGAGTTCAAAAAAAATTTGTGTGGTAGAATCTGGAAAAAAATGTGGTAGATTTCAAAGAAATGTGGTAGATCTCAGGTTCTGAATCAAACTTTGTACAAAATTTTTAAAATTCTGCAAGGTTTCACCTGACTTGCAAACATTTTAATTAGAATCTACAAAAAAAATTTATTTTAGTATAATAAAGTACAAGATTGAAGTTGCTAAAAATTGCGTTGAGTTTTGGCAATTTTTTTCCTTGACAGTGTAAAGCTGTTCCTTCCATAGCAAGATATTTTTCAAACATATTTTAAGAGATTTCTGCAAACTTACGGAGTGCTGCTAGGTTTTCTTTTTATCACATCACGATGTAGAAACCGCTACTTGGGATTTGCCGGTTTTGACAATTCTCAAGTAAAATTAAACAACGCCTTAGAAACTTTGGATGCACTGAAATTTGCTAATACTTTCACAAAAATCGCTGTTTTTTAACATTTTCGCCATTAATTCTTTTTACAAATCATATATTTTGCAATTTAACACAATACAACCACGTTTCCTGTCGACAAATTTATTATTGAGCAAATTTACTATTTTACAGTTTATTTATCCTTCCATTCGGCTTTGCTGTAAGTGTATGTTGGGAAATTTCTGCTAAAAAAATTAAGAAAACTATGTCGACCAAAAATGAAACTACTCAAAAACGCGAATATGTGGTAGATGTCAGACCTTTTTTGGTAGATGTGGTAGATGCTCAAAAAAGTGGCAGATCTACCACACTGTGGTAGAAGTCCGATCACTGATCTCACCTCGTTCAGAAAACCTTGTCGCACGAGCGATACGCTTGCAATATTAGTTGCGTTCCAGATGCTTCACGATATTCACGATTTGCAGGAACAGCAGTTTTCTCCATTAATAAACCTTATGGAAGGTGGTCACCTGGAACGACTTCCTGTAAAAACCTGCAAATCGTGAAGCATCTGGAACTCAACTATTATATCGCAGAGGTGTCGCTGTCGTGCAAGTTTGCATAGTTTTCATCGTTTCCTACCAATTCCCACGTACTCAGCATGCCGATGTTGCATTCATATCGTATCGCGTATCGTATCGCATATCGCATCGCATATCGTATCGCTCTAATAGGCAATTTACATGATTCAACTTTCGCAGGCGATTAGTTGAATAAAAAGTTGAACGAAAGTAGGCAACTTCATTGAAAGCGATTAGTTGGAAGGACGTTTACACCTGCGATTGTTGCTTTCAACTAAAAATCGCCTGAAAAATCGCCTCACGTGCACCGTGCCTTAATTGTAGCTTTTATATTGCGAATTCGTAGTAGTAGTAATACTTATATATACATATATATGAAACTTACCTCTTGGTGGTGGTCCGGATTTTGGGGTTGCGTGTGAGCAGCATAGACGTCCAATTTTAGAAGTACCGCCCGTCGCATCGCCACTGTAGTTAGTTGGCGCCCGCAAACGGCTGGTCGGCCCACCGGTAATCGATGAAGCCGGCGTTGAAGACGTGGATGATGCGGCTGTTGTCGTTTGTGTGGGCGCTGCTATCGATTTTGATTGAACGGCTGTGATTTTTGATCCCGACGATAGTGCCGCACTATGTGCTGCTGATTTAGAATCGACATCTATGGTTTTCAGTTCTGACACGGTACCGTCAGCGGAAGGCTCAGTTTCAGATAGCGGCAACAATGGAGGAGGCATTTCCCCCACATTATTATTCTCACTCATTTTTGGCACTTTGTATATATCGGAATATTATACGCTAATTTTAGTTATTTTTAACTTTGGTTACTTCTTGAAATACATATGAATATATGAAAAAATTGAAGGAATACGAATAGTGAAATGAAAAGTATACAAACATGTATTTCCAAGTGTTTAAATAAGAATATTAAAAATTTTAAAGCAATAAATATATTAATACTCACCCTAATATATTGAACAGTTAAGACAGTTTTAAATGAGGGACTAGTGCTTTTTTGATATCTGTTTGTTTACAATACTGAAGTAGCACCTGAAGTAGTACACTAATGTACCCTGGGCTTTGGTATTTTCTTCAAACTCTGTTGGAACGTTGCAACCAGATGCCAGAAAAGATAGGAGATATTATCCAGCAGTAAGGGCAAATAAATTAAAAGGGACCATAGATTATCACCAAAGGAAACAAGGAGCGAATAGATGTAGTTGAATAATAAAGGTATGCAAATTTCCAGATTTTTAATTTATAAACCACTTGATATAAACAATTTTAATCACAAGGACTGGTTTGCTACGAAGCAGGAGCACAAAGCACACTCGAAAATAAACAATTTGCGCCTTTTTGTGTTGAACTATTGAGGATTTGACTTGACTTTACTTCAAGTTGGAAGAGATTGTGAATTAATTATTATGTTAATTAGCATTTAGCTTTTTTAATTTTACACAATTCAAGTCAGATTTTGGCACTTATTGATTTGATTTGCAACCACGTTGATTTCACTACTTCACTTATTTCATTTATAAATTTAATATTTTTTATTTTTTAGATTAATGAACAATGTTATTTTATACACATATTGCTTATAATTTTTCGGATGCCGATGTATTTTTTTATTTTTAAATTAGCTTTCCTTTGCACTGGTTTTTACGTTTCTCATTCTCACAATTTTCGCGACTTCAATCGGCGACCTAATGCTTTTATCTGGCACGAGACTGTATTTTAAATCGTCGTATCTCGGGCTTAATTTGCAATAAAAGTAACTTACGTAATCTAATAACAATAGAACATTTTCCGGACGCTCAAATTCGCGAAATTACCTAAAATTAACTTGCTTCACTTGCCGTTGAAAAGAAAAATCGGTCAATAATGCAAGAGAAAATGTAACTGGAAAACATCCGACAGGCGAAATTGTTTCCGTTTTTGACATTTTGGGTTTTTACATACGTTTCACAGAGAACGTGACGTATCAATATACGTTCTCTGCGTTTCACTACGGCATTCACAATAAATATTTGTCATATTTGTGCAAAAGCCCTTGGCTTCCAAACTGTGAAACGGTATCTTCACACGAACAAAAATTACATGATATCAGACCATGATTCTTTTTTTTTTTTGAACTAAACAATGCCCATAAGCATTAAAAAATAGTAAGGAACTTTTATAAAAAGTCCTTAAAAAGCCAGGTTATCCTTGTAAATTAATTATACGTTTCAGCGAAATACCAAATGCGGAAGCAGCACAAGCACACAAATTTTTAACATATTGCCATCCAGAAGCAAAACGTAGTACTGCCATATAAATACTTAAAAAACTAAACTTTACTAAAATCTTATAGTTCTTTTTAATATGTATATCTTTCTTTTTTTAAATATATTACCATTTTTTAAATTAATAATTTTTAATTCATTTTATTTAAAAATTTCCCCTTTTCCAATTCAAATACTTAACTTTTTTTTAAATTAAAAAAATTATCTACCTTTTCTCTTAATTAATATCAATGTTTAATTAAGAATAATATCAATAGTAAAGTACATAATCAACGCTTGTGTTGTTATAACCTTTTATAAACTGGATAACTATAATCGTAATTATAGCACTGAATGGAGTTCTCTTAAATGTAAATTTTAAATTTAAAAAAATATCCTTTGTAAGATTATATTTTTATAAAAAAAAATGAATGTTGTGAATTTATTAAGTGAAGGCCGCCTACGCAGAAAGAAGTTCTGCCACTCCTCCTTGGCAACACAGAAAGGAGAATTCTGCGTAGTAAAGGTTGTGATACCTAAACGCGGCCGAAGGCCGCCTACGCAGAAAGAACTTCTGTCACTCTTCTTTGGCAACACAGAAAGAAGAATTCTGCGCAGTAAGGGTAATGATCCCTAAGCGCGGCCGAAGGCCATGTACGCAGAAAGAAGTTCTGCGCAAATTCTCACCGTGCTGAATATTCATATGCACAAGAAATGTTATATAAAAATCGAGTAATTACAAACAGAATTACATAAGGAAATAGACTTGTTAATGGGCGCATTCTTATATACATACCGGAAATATAAACGCAATCTAAATTTCATTTCATTTCTTTAATCGTAAAAAACTTAAAATCTTCCACATTTATGGCAGCTGGCATCACTAATTACAACCCTTTCTGATAATAATAAATTGGCAACACCAAGCACCTCCATGTTTTGGTTTCAACTAGCAGAACATGGTGAAATAATAATAAGGTGTTGTCACTTAGGGGGTGGTTGTTGTAAGTTTGGCAATTTCGGCATACCAGCGTTACAGTAATGCCT